CCTTGGCTTGTTGATTAGCAGCACTACAAAAACATGCCAGTGGCTGTTTAGTGAAGCCCTCCCTGTGAACCCATGTAGGCCCTATTGGTGCATTTGTCTGGTTGGTGTAGCATATCAGGATTTGGACACCCAGTTCTCATTAGATGTAATGGGATTCGGGCAGCTTTGAAAATCACCTTGAATATCTAAGGTCCCCCAATTAATATTGAGCACTGGATTCTTCATTGCTGACATGCCAGGAGAGGTTGTAAGATGGGGTGATGGTGATGCATTTAGATAATGGATGTAGATGACAGCAGCTGCACTGAAAATCAGACTGAAAAAAAAACAACAGATTTTGAGGCCAGAGATTTATTCCTCAGATTCATTATTTTTAGCAGGTGATGATCTCACCATTGCTGTGTTTGAGTCACCAAGCTGTGAGTAATGTGACTGACACCAGACCAGGGAGCTGCAGCAGGGCCCCTGTGCTTGTCTCCTAGCCCTAGACACTGAGGTTCTGATGCTACTGGGATTGCTCAGTCTGCTTGTTTGCTTGACCTCCCCAGAACGCTCCTCCACAGCACAGCTGATTTAGCAGCAGGGGCTAGCTCCAGGCTCAACCTGAAAGCAGCAACTTCCTTTCTAGAGTATGCAGGGCTAGGGGCTTAGGCATTTTTGGTCACTAGACTGTCCTTTTCCAGGGGGACAAGGTGGGTAAGGTAATATCTTTTATTGGACCAACTTCTATTGATGAGAGAGACAAGCTTTTGAACTACACAGAGCTCTTCCTCAGGTCTAGAGGAAGAGCTCTGTGTAATTCAAAAGTTTGTCTCTCTCTCCAACAGAAGTTGTTACAATAAAAGAGATTACCTAACCCCCCTTGTCTCTCTAATATCCTGGGACTGACATGGCTACAACACTTTTCCAAAGAAGCGGGAAATATCTTAATTCAGATTATTATCGCAATGTTCAATTGGAAAGGATGTCCCCCATATGCTTTAGAGAAAAGAATAAATCACCCTCCACAGCAACAAATGGGACACCTGGAACATGGGCAGCTGTGTAGCAGCAACAGTACAGGATAGGAAGTAAAGAAGAACCTTGTATTTATCTAAAACTGAAAGGGAACATTAGTTAAATTCATAGATTCCAAGGCCAGAAGGGACCATTGTGATTATCTAGTCTGACCACCAATGCAGGCCAGAGAACTTCCCCCACAATAATTCCTAGAGCAGATCTTTTAGAAAAGCATCCAATCTGGACTTTAAATTGTCGGTGATGGAAAATCCACCATGGCCATTGTTAAATTGTTCCAATGGTTAATTACCACTTGTGATAAATGAAGTGGGAGGGGTAGCTCCCTTTTATGGACCCAGTCAGCCAGTTAGCTATAAAATCCCTCTTAGTAACTGTTCTCTACTTGCTTTACCTGTAAAGGGTTAAAAGCATCACTGTGATGCATAGGTAAAAGGAATTGAGTGGGCACCTGGCCAAAAGAGCCAGTGGGAAGGCTGGAACTTTTTAAAATTAAAACAAGACTCCCCTTTTGTCTGTCTGTTGTTGTCCTTGGGGAGAAGCAGACAGGGAGCAGCAATTCTGTAAGAAGCTCTGGGCCAGGTAGGAAAAATCATCAGTATCATACCTAGAAACTATGCATCTAAAACCCCAGATATGTAAATAGATTAGGAAATGTCTAAAAAGATCGATTAGGTTTATCCCTTTTATTTTTTATGGCTTGTGTATTCCTCTGTGCTAACCCTAGGTGCTTTTGTTTTGCTTGTAACTTTTAAGCTGGACCTCGAGAGCTATTTTTAATGCTTAAGTCTTATATTTGCTCTTTTTAAATCTAGCAATAGCCTGAGTTTTCAGATGTATTTTCTTTCTTTTTAATAAAATGTACCTTTTTCAGGAACAGGATTGGAGTTCTGTATCTTAAAAGGTTTGTGCATGTGGGGTTTTTTTTATCATCTGGTGGCAACAGCTGATTTTCTTTGTTTTTTTCTTTCTCAGCTCTTCCCTGGGGGGCGGAGGTGAGTGAAAGGGCTTGAGGGTACTCCACAGGAAGGAATTTCCAAGTGCGCCTTCCTGGGTCCTCAAAAGGTTTTTGCACTTGCGTGGTGGCAGCATCTACCCATCCAAGGTCAGAGAAAAGCTGTAATCTTGGGAGTTTAATACAAGCCTGGAGTGGCCAGTATTCATTTTTAGAATCCTTGTGGGCTCCCACCTTCTGCATTTGAAGTGCCGGAGTGGGGAATCAGCCTTAACACCACTGTTAAAAAGTTATGCCTTATTTCCAGTCTGAATGTATAGTTTTAACTTCCAGCCATTGGATCATGTTATACCTTTTTCTGCTAGACTGAAGAGCCCATTATTAAAGATTTGTTCCCCATGTAGGTATTAATAGACAGTAATCCAGTCACCCTTTAACTGTCTCTTTGTTAGTTTCAAAGAGCTCAATCTATTTAATTTATCACTATAAGGCATGTTTTCTAATCCTTTAATCATTCTTGTAGCTCTTCTCTGAACCCTCTGCAATTTATCAACATCCTTCTTGAATTGTGGATGCCAGAAATGGACACAGTATTCCAGCAGCTGTAACACCAGTCCCGAAGACAGAGGTAAAATAACTTCTCTACCCCTACTCAAGATTATCCTGTTTATGCATCCAAGAATTGCATTAGCCCTTTTGATCACAGCATCACACTGGGAGCTCATGTTCAGATGATTATCTACTCCCCCCAAAATCCTTTTTCAGAGACACTGCTTTCCAGGATAGAGTCCCCCATTCTGTAAATATAGCCTACATTTTTTGTTCCTACATGTATAAGTTTACATTTAGCTGTATTAAAATGAAAATTGTTTGCTTGTGCCCATTTACCCAGCAATCTAGATCAGTGACCTGTCCTCTTCATTATTTACCACTTCCCTAATTTTTATGTCATCTTCAAACTTTATCAGTGATGATTTTATGTTTTGTTCTAGGTCACTGATTATATCAAATAGGATAGGGCCAAGAACAGATTCCTGCAGGACCCCTTTAGAAACATACCCACTGGGTGATTCCCTATTTCCAGTTTCCATTTTGAAACCTGCCACGTTATTTTTATATCTGTGATGGTCTGGTCAGTGAGGGGAATAATCCATACCAGTGAGGGGCTGTGTCACCACCTGTCCTGTAACACTGGGTTCCTCACTGCTTTGCTGCTGCAGCTCCCAACCTGGGATGCCCCCACCCAGCCTACAACCATGCAGATCACACCCTGAGTGTCTGTGTGTAGCTATAGCCTTGGTCCAGCAGCAACACATCAATCAATCACACTCTGGGTTCTACCAGCTTTGTTTACAACTAGCAAGATGACCCCAACACACTCCCAGTCCTGAATTTCTCGAAAACTGTGTGCACTGAAGTGTCCAGCCCTCTCCTGGACAGCTCAGAGAAATAATGAGGTTCATTGCTCCTGTAAAGAGAGAGAACCACATCACAGTTTACTATCTTAACTGGGAGTAAATACACCCTTCCCTTTAAACACAGGGCTGAGTTGGTTTATGGTAAGAATGAAATACATAGGATTAAGTGAGTTCATATACAAGGAATTAAGATAGTTACAAGTAAAACAAAATCTAATTCTGAAAGTCCAAAACAATCTAGCAAGGTACAATCTTTGCCTAAGTCGGTTTCTCACCTTTATTCAATTCCCAGAGATTTCACCCTCTCCTCTTAGTTAAAGGACCCATCTTTCTCATCTCACAAGAGCTCTGTTTCCATATGTCTATCTAGTGATGATTGCCAAAGGTGGCTTCTGAGTTGCTTATATTTTTCAGTGATGTTTGAGAAGGCAGGATGACCTCATGCTGTTCTTTCCTTTCTGTGGGCTTCCTATGCCCCTTTATGTAAATAGGACTTCCACTGTGCTTGATTTACATAGAATAGTGGTAAATAGTTGTGACATTCCCTCCTGTCTGGGCAAATTGTACAGCCTAATATAAATGAGTATCCATAATTCCTTATAGTGTTAATATGTACAGTTTACAATATTAATCACTGGTGTGTCAGCTTTCAGAAAATACTTCACTCTATACACATTTATAATATAGTAATATTGTATACAATCAGTTGCTTATCACTTGAGGTTCAGCCCTCCTGTCTTCATAGACCAGTAAGCCTTTGCAATGTAGTCTTTGAAAAGTAAAACCCAGACCAAGCTTCTCTCCTCTGATGGGTGTAGATGCCAGGTTCTCTTCTCCCCTGCTTGTTATGTGTGAGGTTTGCCTCCACCCCTTGTTAGCTTGATGACTGTTTATGTGATATGTAACTATGTTCTCATTATCTTCAAAGTGTTTTGGAAATAAATATCCAATGGAGAAACCACATTCCTTTGTTTAGGGTAACTCCTCTTTGACTAGCCAACACATTTGAAGAACTATAATTTCAGTTTATGTCCATAATTTTGCATTAGTTGCTTGCACCTACATTACACAGTATTAACCAGTGAGTTATGAGCTATCCAATGACAATCTGTATCTAAAAGGTGTCCTGTAGTAACAATAGTGAGTTGGGGTACACTGGGCTGGTCAGGCCAACTGAAACTGACTGCTAAAGAGCAGAATGCCACTTTCCCTCTGCCCTAGGGCTGTTCTTAATGTCACTATCATTCTAGCTTTTTGTTTGTTTGTTTTTTAATCAAAATGTCATGCAGAACCAGAAAGAAGCTGAAGATTTTATCCTGACAGGAATCCTAGGCAGAGCAATACGTGCAAGTCAGCCTGTCCTGCACAGAGAGGGCATTCAGCTGTTGTAGAACAGCTACAAGGATCCCTCTCACCAAAGCATCAAGGAATCAAGTCTCAGGGCATGACAGCAACATGCCCTTTAAACTTTACCTACGGTTAATCTTTTACACAGTGAGATGAACAGCCAGCCAGCCTGAGGCTTTGCTGAGAGCCAAGACCCCATTTCTACAAGCATATAATTACTCTGAATCCCCTGTTGATAAGCAAAGAAAGACTCAAAGCAGACATCAGTGATACAAATTTTATTTTGTTAACATTAATTTATAGTGAAACAAGCAGGTGTCAGTCTTATACAGGCACAAAACCCTCCCCCCACAATATTAACCTAGAATGCACAGCCTCCGTTCAGCAGGGGCAGACATTTTTATTGTTAGCGTCTTGTGTGAACTCCAGTTTCTGCACTTTTCCCTGCTGCCTCTCCATATCCCGATAGAGCAGGGACTTCTGGGCCTTCAACCTGCAAGCCAGGCACATGAAAATCGACTCCACATTCTGACTCTCTTTGGGGTCCTTGGCTGACGTTTCAAACAAAAGCATGTTGTGAGCATCAGCGAATTTCAGGGCCACGCTGGATGGCACCTGAATTTGTTCTCGTAAGTCACACTTGTTCCCAACAAGCACCTTGGGGACGAAAGGGGGCACAGCATGCCCATTGCATTCCTCAATCCACATCTTAAGATTGGTGAAGGAAGCCATCTTAGTGACATCATAGACAAAGATGACGGCATGCACATTGCGGTAATAGTGTTCTACCATGCTCTTCCGGAACCGCTCCTGGCCAGCTGTGTCCCAGACCTGCACCTAGAAAACAAAGCACAGTGTGCCTGAGGCAGCCAAGATGTAGCCCACCCCCACGCAGGCCTTGGGTCCCGGGAACAGGCAGTTTCTTGTTTGGAGAAGCTGGGGGCACAGAGACTTAGGGCATTTCCTCCCAGTCTATATCATTCTCAATATGTACATAACCCTTGTTCAGCTTGATTAGTGAGGCTAGACAACTGCAGAGCTCCACATAGCTAATTCCCCTTCACCTCAGCTGACACTGCTGAGTCCAGCACATTTTGAGAGAAGTCCCTCCCTGGGCAGCCCTTTGCTTTACCTGCAAATGGTCCCTGTACTCTGGCCCAGAAGCCTTGGATTCCTTTGTCCTTGTACTGAGCATGGTTTGCTCCAGGCAAAGTGGTTGTCTGGGATTCAATCACTCTTGCTTAGCACCTATCTGGTAGGTCCTGTGAGCTGCTTTTTAAGAGAGAGTTTCCTCTTCTAACCATATTTCATTGCCATCTTCACCACAGCAATAATGTGCATAAAACACCTGGCACTTCAGAGGCATTTCAACACCAGACCAGGCATTACTCCACCTCCACCAGCCAGAGCCGTCCCTTGGGTAGGGCGAATTGGGGCAACCACCCCAAGCCCCATGCTTTGAGGGGCCCCATGCTTCAATAAAATCGGGACTGTCCCAATATTTAGCCCTTTGTCCCACGTCCCGACAGATTTATGCCATTTGTCCCGATATTCAGGTGAAGTGAGTGGGGTAAGAACGTGAACGGGGAGGCGAAGGGCGGATAAGGAGGAGAGCGGCGGATGGGGGGGAGCCATGCAGCAGATGGACGGCAAGGAGACTAGCGGGGATGCAAGTGGTGGGCGAGGAGGTGGGGGGGAGGAGGAGAGCGATGGATGGGGGTGCACCCTGGACAGATGGCGAGGAGTCAGCAAGGACAAGAGCGACAGGCGGGATGTGTGTTTGAGGGGGTGGGCGCACAGCGAGGAGACTAGCAGGGAGGCTGATTTGTCCCAGGCCCCACACCCCCCTAGGGACAGCCCTGCCGCCAGCATCCTATTGCAGAAGAAGTGAAGAACCCTGTAATGCACCCAGACAATTGTACAGTGATGAATCTGGAGGGGGAAGAAATAGTAGAATTCCTTCCCGACCCCTGCAGGTGCACCCTGAAGCCTGGGATTTGATTATTTCTTTTTTAAAGCTGCAATAGCTGCAGACTGATGCTGAAACCATCTGGCTGCCTTGTCAACCCAGTGCCAATATCTGCAGCAGGGGAGTCTCAAGCTGGGCACACACTGGCAGAAAGCAAGCATATTTGTTCCTCATTTCTCTGCCATTCAGTTCCCCCTTGCACTCGAATCACGGGGACGGCATGAAAAGGAGGGGCTGCTCTGGGCTCATTGTCCTTCAGACCCTTCTGTCCCCACCCTCTCACACCCCCTCTTTTCAGGCTACCTAAGCCTCACTTTTCCCCTCTGACAGGAGGTTAGCCTGGGCTACTAACCCATCTCCCCTCACTGCTCAAGTGTAAGCAGCTAGGGGAGAACAGCAGGCTGGACACTTCCCAGGCCTGGAGCAGCAACACTGGCTTCAGGCCAACATGGGGTGTAAGTTGCACTAGCAAGAACACAGGGCTCAGGAACAAAGCTGACTGCAAACATTTTGACCAAGCTTTTTCCTGTCGAAAGATGCCGTTTTATCACCACTGAAATGGTTCCCTGGGTCAGGATGGACCAGTCAAACTGAGATGCAGAGCAGCCAGGAACAGCCCACAGTCCGGTGGGCAGAGCACTCCCTCAGGGAGATGGGAGGCCCAGGTTCAAATGTCTGCTCTGCCCAATTAGAAGCAGAGACCTGGGTCTCCCACATCTCAGGTGGGCATCCTGACCACTGGGCTATAGAGTGTCTCCTGTTGGAGTGTTTCACTTTGTATAACTAATTAAATACTCAGGCCAGAGAGAGGGACACAACAGCTCAGTGGTTGACTCTCGCCTGGTTTCTGAGCCTTTCAGAGTTGGCTGCACTGCTGTTCCCCCTTCAGAAGCCCTCAGACTGCTCAGCCTCCAGGGGTCACTCCCGCTGCAGCATGCCAAGCCTACCAATCTTCCCTTGCTCTCTGTTACCTTACCCATCAAATCAAAGTTTACCAGCCTTAACCATAGAGCTTGGATTACCAGAGTCAACCCCCTGGGCAGGCAGCCAGATCCAGTCCACATACCGTATGGATGTGGACTCGAGACGAGTTAACATTTTGCAGAATCTCAGCTTTCATTTAAAAAGGTAGTTTCTAGCCCACACATTTGCAAAGGAAATTCTGAAAACACCTGAGTGCAGCCTAAAAGCTCAGAAACCAGGAGTCAAAAAAACAAACAAACAAACAAAAAAGCATTCAAGATTTTAAATTCTCATGATTTGGGGGCCTGGCATGTGATTTTGGAATATTTGGAGTTGTGATAGTGAAATGGTCATCTCCTATGGAGAAAGTTTGGTGCAAGCTGCAAGAAAAGGGGATTGGCACCCACACAGAGCCAGCTGCTCGAGGCCTGTTCCCAGCGTAGCCATTAAAGACAGACACAGCAAGGAGCATCCTACTGGGCTGCCAGTCCCATGCACAAGCTGCAGCAACTAACCCTGCCGTAGGCCTCGAGCCACAGTCACAGCAAGTGGCTGGGTCCACAGCTCTGCTCTGCAAACTGCCCTTTCCTGGGCCTACACCCCAGCTCCACAAAGCCCCACCTTCCTCAGTGGCAGGGTCTGGAGCATCTACCAGCTCCTTCCTACAAGTACTCACTATCACTCCCCCACACAGCTCTCTTGATCCAAATCTGGGCATACTGGACCTTTCCACAGCATTCTCACCTCCTCCTTCTCCACAGACCTTGGAACCTCCCAGGGGGCTGGTACATGGCCCCCACTTTCCCAATGCCCTCATACCTCAGCACCTCCAGTACTCTCTGCCCCTCCCCACCTACCAGCATGCTCCCTCCCTACCAAACCCTCATACATCTCCTGCCCTCCTGTACCTCTCCCCTCCCCAGCCCCCCCATGTCTTCATAGTTCCCTCTCCCTCAACCGCTCTCATCCACTTGTACCTCCCTGCCCCCCACCCCACACAATGCTTCACCAATGGCTTCAGACCTCCCAATCCCCTGGATGACCTCGTAGCACCCCTCCAATGCCCTCGTAGCCCCCCGTCCCCTCCAGTGCCCTCCTACACCTCTCCCCTCACCTGCTCTCATACCTCCCCGCCCCCTCCTGCCCTTCAGTGCCCTTGTACCAATCTCCACTCCCCTGCCCACAACCCCTCCTGCCCTCCAGTGCCCTTGTAGCCCCCACCCCTATAACTTGCTGCTCCACTCGCTGCTCTCCCACATGCCCTTGCCACCCCAATGCCTTTGCACCTTACTGCCCCTGCTCTAACTCTCCACCTCTGTCCCCCTCTCCACTCATGACCTCCTATCTCACTGCCCCCCTAGCAGATGCCCTCATCCCCATGACACTTTCATACCTTGACACCCCCACATACCTCATCAACCTCCACTACCCCCATAACTCTCTGACCACCTAGCTCCCCGCTCCATTTCTCTCACACACACCCCAGCCAACCTCCAGCCCTCTCGCCACACACCTCCACCCTTCTGCCCCTTCCTATACCCACACCTGCTCTTTGGCCTATGCACACACTGGATGTTTCACACCTGTAGTGCCCCCCTATCACTCTCTTTGTTCCCCTTCTCTCCCTCTGCTGCCGGTGCTGTGCCCCCATTTCCTTGTACCTCACCAACCCCACCTGTTCTCCAGCATCCCCCTCTCTCTGCCCCATGCCTTCCTGTGTCACCAACCTCCTGCTTGTTCTCTACCTGTTCCCCCACATCCTTACCAATCCCCTCACTCCCCATCCCTCACCGCCCCCCATCCCCTCCTCCCTTGCTGCCCCTGCTCCTCCATTCCCCCCAATCCCCATCTACCACTACCCCCCACTTCCCCATTTTCCCCTGCTCCCATCGCCACTACGCTCTGCTTCCCATCCCCCACTACCCTAACCCCCAATTCCCTCCTCCTTCGCTGCCCCTGCTTCTCCATTCCCCCACTCCCCATTTGCCACCACCCCCTGCTCCCTCATTCCCCACTCTCCATCCCTCACTGCCCCATCCCCTCCTCCTCCATTCCCCCCAATGCCCTCTGCTCCCCCATCCCGTCTGACTCCATCTCTTACCACCACACCATCCCCACAGTTCCATCCTCCCTCACTGCCCCCTGCTTCTCCCATTTCCCCACTCCCCATCTACGACTACGCCCTGCTCCCCCATTCCCCAACTCCCATCCAACGCCATCCCCCGTTCCCTCATTCCCATCCCCCACTGCCCCCTGCTTCTCCTCTCACCACCCCAACCCGCCAATTCCCTCCTTCCTCACTGCCCCTGCTCCCCATTCCCCGCCTCCCCCACTGCTCTGTTCCCCCAATTCCCTCCTCCTTTACTGCCCCTGCTGCTCCCCCCATGCTCCCTGCTTCCCCATCCCCCTCCCCATTCCTCCCCGCTTCTCCCGCGACCTTGATTTTCTCTCCCTCGATCTCCACCGTCTTCTCCCTGAAGTCCACGCCGATGGTGGCCTCGGTGCTGGCGGGGAAGGCGCCCCCGCAGAAGCGGAAGGTCAGGCAGGTTTTGCCCACGTTGGAGTCGCCGATGACGATGATTTTGAAGATGCGGACCCGCAGGTACTGCTCCAGTGAGGCGTCCAGCTCGGCGGCGGCCGGCCCGGAGGGCTGCATGCCGGGCGCTGCGCGGAGCCGGGCGGCGGCCCACACACAAAGGCAGGAGGCAGCTGCCGAGCGTGGCGGATCAGGTGGCTGATGCATATTCAGCGCGGCGGAGACCCTCCCCCTGGCCGGCTGGCGGGTGGGGCCGGCCGCGGGGCTCGCCCGACCCACGTGTTCCCGCAGCGCCTGCCTGCGGGCCAGCAGCCTGGCACCCGGGGCACCAGGCCCTGGCTACTCGCCAGCGGAGCAAGGGGCAGCCCCGGGCGCGGACTGCCACGCCCCCGCCTGTGCCTTGCCCGGGCCTCTGTCCAGGGCCGGCTCTAGGTTTTTTGCCGCCCCAAGCAAAAAAAATTTTGGCTTCCCCCCACACACTCCTGCCTCCCCAGCTCTGGGCTCCCCCCCACCAGTGCTGACTCCGCCCGCTCCCCCCTCGCTTCTAGCCAGTCCAGCGCTGGTAGGGTTGGAGTAAGCAGCAGGGCTCCCGGGCCGCGCCTCAGCCCAGGGTCCTTCCAGCCAGGGCTCCTGCCTCCAGGAGCGGCCGGGATCCAGGAGGGCAGAGCAGGGGGACCGCCCCGGCAGGGGACTGAGGAGCTGGGGCAGGGTAGCCCCAGAGGGAGCAAAGCCCTGGAGAGCGGGACGCAGGCCCCCCATGGCAGCGCCCCGGGCACCGGTCCCCACTATGGCCCCGCTGCTGCTGCTGCTCCTGGCCACCCTGCTGCAGTCCCTAGGCAGCTCAGACCGCTTTGCCCAGCCCCGGCTGCGGCACTGGGGGGTGGCCGCCTTGCGGCACCTGCAGGCAGCTTCCCCCACCCGGTGGCCCCCAGCCCGAGTGTCCCACGCTTGGAGCCCGCTCAACCCAGCCACAAGGTGCTGGCGTTGCTCCCCGACATGAACCACAGCGGTCCCAGGGTGCCCCCCCCACGCTGCTGCTGGCAGGGTTGGCTCTAGGCCACCCTAAGCAAAAAAAAAAAAATAGCTGCCCCTGAAAATGTGCTGCCCCAAGCACATGCTTGGTTTGCTGGTGCCTAGAGCCGGCCCTGCCTCTGTCTGTGGGAGCCCAGCCCAGCAAAGGGCCGCCGCGGGCGCTCGGATGCTGTGGGCCAGGCCCTGTGCATACATATTGCAATCAAAGGCCCAGGTGGGAGAAAAACTCTTTTGCTGACCAGCTAGAAGAGCTCCCACCCAGGGCCCCGCTCTGACTCTCCCAGCCCAGCTCACCAGCAAAGCCCAGGCAGGCCTGATTATACTGGCGGGGAAACAAGCAGCCAAATGGGGCACACAAAGAACCTTCCCTTCCAGATCTCTCCAAAGCCCTGCAGGAAGCAGGAAAGGGCAGCATTCCAGAGCTGGTCAAGGATATTTTGCACCCTAGGCGAAACGTTCACCTTGCTCCACCCGCCCCCCCAACCTCCGAAAACTAGTAAACTTTGCATTATAAACAGCCTGTCAGAATGGGTAACGGCTGTTGTAATGTTTCTTTTTTACCTTTAAGGCGTTTCAGTTGTTTGCCACTGCCTCTGATGGTGTCCCATTCAAAGTATTACTATACTATTGTGCAAAGCTAAACAAGTCAGCCTTGCATTGCATCACCAGCCAGGTATCAGGGGGTAGCCGTGTTAGTCTGTGTCAAGGCTGTATCCCCACTTTGAACTTTAGGGTACAATGTGGGGGCCTGCATGAAGACTTCTAAGCTTAACTACCAGCTTAGCTCTGGTCCGCTGCCACCATCTCAAAGCTAATTCCCTTCCCTGGGAAGCCTTGAGAAACCTTTCACCAATTCCCTGGGGAATACAGATCCAAACCCCTTGGATCTAAAAAAATGGAAAAATCAATCAGGTTCTTAAAAAAATGGCTTTTAATTAA